ATGAAAATATACTGCGATATCTCGAATATCGTGCTAACTGAATCATGAGGCGGCCCGTGTGCAGCACATTCAGTTGTAGAATACCGTAAACGAGAGATTCAGTTGAGTCTCTTGTGAAAACTTAATTGATTTCCAAATAAGTGTATTCTCAAGTACCACTTTGTTGTAAGTAATCCGGTGCATCTAGTTTCAAGGATGTCATCGGAGAATTTAATGCCTGTAAAACCAAATTACAAGGGGAAACCAAACAATGCTGGTTTTCCTGAAGGCTGTTAAGACCGGATTTAGTTACCTAAGCATTTAGGAAGGAGGAATGTAAAACGTTACTTGTAAATAGATTAATATGAATCGACTAATATAATGAAGTTTGAGAGTCGGAACCTTGTGACTTGTTTCGAGTTCACCATTTCAGAGTAAAAACAGTAGCGTTATCAAACGCACGGTATTGGACGACTTCTGTTCGTCAGACCTCGTATGTTCAGTTTCTAGAGTGTAACGGAACTAAAGTGGTTTTCTAACTGTATTGTAAATGTGGTCGGCAGTTGTTCAGACAACACGTGGATGCCGCAAGTGGTATGATCCCTTATTCCTTACAATTCTTGGTTTGAGAATTTCTCGCAAAGCTGGCTGTCCGGCTGGACTGCTTATGCGTCTACATGCACGCTTGCTTCTTCAGGGCACTATGTTCTAATTCTCCTTTTTCGCGGTGTTTTACATAGTGGATTGGAACTCATACGCACGAAAATTTTCGGAACTTTTGAAATGAAGTGATTGCTCACAGGGTTAAATCGGCTCACCGATAGACATTTCTGACCCTTCGGTTTTCTAAAAACCAGTTATGTAGAATGTTGCAATAACACACTTCGCTCAGTTAAGGCAATTTAAAGGGCTATTGCAAGGACACAGAATTGAAATTCAGTGCTCAAATAGGTTCATGTCAGAACCTTACCAGGAGGAAAACTTGTAGTCTTGAAGCATCTTGGCGGTAGCTAATCAAACTCTAGTTTCAACGACTACCGTTACATTCGTCACATACCTAAGCACACCAACTGTGTTCGATGTCGCTTATATTTGTTCCAACATCAAAGCATAAGGTGCGGTGAGACGTAGCAAGTTGCCTGCTGGCTGGAAAATAATGTGACGCCTCCGTTGCCGAAGTAATGAGTAGATTTGGCTGGTGAACTTATCGCGAATGTGTTCAAGTAGGTTTTCACTGCACGAACAGAAACAATAGAGTGAGTACCGGATACAGGGATCCTGAGACTACACTGATGAAAGATTTTCCCTTGCTTGACTGGGTACGTTACCCTAAATTTTGCTTAGAATTTCATCAACCTGCGGCCGGTTTCACTGTCTTTGTGACTCTTTAAACTACCGTATGAGTAGTGTTTTCTGCCAAGAAGATATTCTGCGATATTGCCAATATCTTACTAACCCAAACATGAGGCAGCCATCAAACGGGATTTTCGGTTGAAACATGTTAAAATCGAGGTATTCAGTTGAGATTTAGGTGAGCCTTGCTTTAACATACCCTCAAATGGGGTGTTTTATTATCCGTTGTTGTTCTAATAATGAGTTCAACAGCAAAATATTCCGTTCGCTCTGGCTATGACTACTTCAGTGCATCTAACGATGACTGCTTCAGCGCTTTTCACTTCCAGTCCATCGATTGTCTTGGAGAATATTGACAGAACGCGTCGCTAAAATGTCTTGTTTGAAGATTTCAAGCCTTATCCAACCAATTTTATCAAAAACAGCTTGACCGACGGAGCTCAGTTTGGAATGTTTGCAATGTCCGAAATTCGTTTCCTGCATAATTATAGCTTGAACTCCGGACATCGGAAATACGAGGCAAGCTTGTCAACACTACACCACTAGAGGGTGCTGGATAATTACCCGCTCTTGATAACTAGAGTTTTTTATGGCCAATGAAAGGAGGACGGCTTTCGCTGTGGATTTGTTCGTTAGAAAATGCCAACTGAACAGTTACAGACTATTGGACAGGCAAGCAAAACTCTCATATGCATCTTGTCTACAAAACTGAATATTCCTCTTCTCCTTGAACGCGTCTTCCTGAATTTTCTTGGATATTCATTGACCGTTACGCAATTGCAAGCAAATGCTGCAGAGCGACTCAACAAATTCCGTATAAGATCTCACTTTTCAAGAGATGCAAATCGGATGTACGAGAAAACATACTACTCGCATGCCCCTATCAGTAGTATCACCGTTACACCAGTGAAAGTAAGTCTACCCGTTCTTGACTGGACGGTTCGTAAACAAATCTAACACTGGGAATACAAATCACGCTTCAAAGAAGATCTTTATGGATTGGGAATCATCAACTACACACAGCAAGCTCTGTGGCGAATATTCGGATCCATGAAGGTGATCAACCAAGCGAATGATTAGCTGTGGTTCTGAGTTACCTGTTTGGTGACCCCTGTTTACATTGAGAAGGGTTTGGTTTGTTTTTGCCCCGTGGCAAAATTGTACGAATTTTAACTGAACGAATTCCTCAAACACTGTACGGTTTGAGCAGCTGTGTGGCTGATGGCGACGCGCCAAGCACGTTTCATAGGCAGGTAGGTCTGAATGCCAACTCCGAAATCAGATGCGCATTTTTGACTAGTATGACCGATGAAATTGGACTCCTTTAGTAGCATCAAGTGAAAATTCTCAAAAACATTGCGCTCAAAGACAAAAAGCCAGTGGTTTGCTTGCCAATCTAGGTGTGGTACGGACCATGTTTCGGTGAAACACGATTTGGAGGCGCACGCAGGTATGAGCTATCATATTGTGGTTTCTCGTGACCAATCACGCAAATCATCCATGCGCATCGGACTGGCACATCATTCACTGAGACCAAGTGTTGTTACAAAACCGAAGCACACAATGATGACCTGCTCAGCTGAATTTATAATGGCATAGGTGTTGTACAAAACGGACTTTCTACTTTACCGTTGCAATGTGCACGTTGGTGTGAAAATACGGACTATCGACAAGTGGACACATTTCGCTCGATGTATCGAACGCACTGGAGTTCCGCGGCTTCCCCCAGCAAACATTCACAGGATTTTGAGTGGAATCATGTTGGGACGAAAGCTCAGAATATTCCTCCGCAGCGCGCCTCATCCGTAAAATCAACTAATCAAGAGACGACATCGAAGATTGGCGGCTACTCTTACAATGGGTAAGTCTCTGAGACCGATGCACGTGTAGATTACCGTAAGGAATATCTAGGCCTCTAAAAGCGGTTGATGCTAGACGGATTAGCAGTTATGACATTATCAGGTACGAAACTATGAGTTACGCAAAGATACCTGTTTTTCCGCTTTGAATTTCAGACCACGTAATAAGTGTAAATGATAAGAGGAACGTAACGGCCGAGCGAGTGATACAGTTCGTTGGTAGCTCCCTTATCAAAAAACGGGCTAGGGCATTCACGAAACGGAGATAATCCATTGATCATTCAAATAAATCGGTCATTTGAAGAGATATTTCGTCGAGAGGTCTTTGTTTCGCAGAGATTATGACAGCTTTATCTGCAATCCATCATCTGCTATGCAACCAAACCTCCCAGAGACCCGATGCTCTCTTTGGATATTGCGATATAGGCCACACTGTGACAAGCCACACGTTTCTTATTAGTGTTCTAGTCACGTACGTGATAAGGCTGGATTAACTCAGTTTCTGAGCCAAAACTTTTGATCGTTCGATTTGTGGAAAAGTCGGTTTTGTATTTTTCTGAGCTTCAAATTTCCGGTTGAAACAAAACGTTTTTGCGTCTCTTGATGTCCAATTTGTGAACAAATGGCTAAAAAGAAACATTGAGTTTTGCGTGTTTTCCATATTTTTCTACCCATAAGTCATCTGATTGGTAGTTTAACGGACACAGTGCCCTGAGAGACTCCGAACGCATCATAGTGTTGGTCTGATTGATGTCTTCTGAAACTGTGTGCAAATACATGACATCGTTAAAGGGGAGAATTTGCAGGCGGGCCACCGGATGAGACGTTTGTTCGTTATACACGCTAAATAGTATTGGATAAGGCGTCCGTGATACAAGGCGGAATCGTCTCCTCTTTCTGTGGCTCCTATTGGCGTTATTCGACATTTGCGAAATGAATTCAGTATTACAAGTCACGTGAGCTTTTCTCTCAAGAGATATTCACACGAGATGGCAATAAGCACGTGAACACGTCGTATGATTAAGAAGTGAGTGTTACTGTATCTTAACAGCAAGCCAGTAAGGGCTACTGCCGATAAGTCACTGTTGGCTGAATATTGCGTTGTTAAACTACCGACCAGGAGCTTACGGGTTCGAGTCTTTCTGTGGACTAGTGAGATGCGCATTGCTGATGACTTCCAGCAAGAATTAAATATGTATTGTCTGAAGGATGAAGGTCTGACCGAAACTTTGTTTTTTTTTCAGAAAGTAGTTTACAGGGAGACAGAGGAGTTACTTGCTTCAAGTAAATCTTTCTCATGCTGTTGGGGATTACCTACACCTTAAATATTATTTTGTTTAAGACGAGCCTTACAACAAAAAGTGGTTGAGTGAAGCTGGTTGCTCGCGTAATGTCAAGAATCGTTCGAGCCACCGTTTTATATTCCTTATAGACCCTTCCAAAATTCGGGATGACTTTCACAATCCAGGCGCCCTCTTCATTGGAAGACAGTTCGACCTCTCAACTTATAATTTTTCCTTGTGAGACGCTTCAAAGTAAAGGTCAAAACCTTCCACAGTTTGAAGACTTGAAATTTTTACATCTTAGCATACAAGGTGCGCCTACGGTTCCCACACTGAAATGCATCAAAACCACTCTCTGACATTTCAGTTTAGCTAAGTGACTTTTTCTCATTGTGACTTGCATTACTACCTCTGTGTTTCTGTCGGGTTTCCGTCCATATACCCTGGAATTAAGCCAAATTCTGTCGAAGTCATCTTTACCTAGCATGGATAGGCAGGCTAGTTTTAAACTCGAAATAAAATTTCGACGTGATACTGATTGTTCCCCACTAAATGGCCTTTGCAGGGAGGTGCTCGGGATTGCTGCGACCTATAGTTAATAAGTTGAAACTAATGAGTTCCACTGTTTCTAATCTGCCTACGCTGGTCCTTCATGGATAAGACCGAAATTCATTGAACGAATTGCGTATACACTCAATGACTTTCGGTCAAGTTTTCGTTACAACGGAGACTCATGGAGAAGCCATCAAATGAGGAACCACTTAATAAACGACTGCGTGATGTGAATCCTGTGACTGAGGCACGAGTGGGGCTATATACTGTCTAATTGGGGGTACATGATCAGCCGCCCGTGACCGAATGTTCATTGTTGAAACTACTTACCGGGAGGTTGCGTGTACGAGACCGCCCCTGGAAGTTCGACCGAGGTTATATACTGTCTAATTGGGGGTACATGATCTGCCGCCCGTGACCGAATGTTGATTGTTGAAACTACTGGCCGGGAGGTTGCGTGTTCGAGACCGCCCCTGGAAGTTCGACCGAGTCGCAACGTTGATGATTCCCAATGACAACGGAGGGGTTGTACAGTGCATCTCGGCTTTTCAGCGTAAAGTGCTTCTAATCTCACACAGAAAGTTATCGAATTGCCGTTTAAGCTTTTAGTTACTTACTTCTCTTGATAACCCTCTCCGGTTGGCATGTGAAAATCAGCAGCAAGTTCCAGGTGGATTTCAGGAGAGACGGGAAGAAGGCAGACTACTTTTCCACTTATATACTGGGCCAGAAAGCTCAAGTTTTGGTTATCGGAAAAAACGCCAGTGCTCAAACAATTACGTGCGGGAGACTGCGCCTATAATTTGAAAATTTGATGTTTTAGAGTTGGGTTGATGACAACCGACCGTTATGTGAATAGGGATGGTTCAGTCATGTACTCCTGAAGGGAGTAACACATCTCAAGATGGTGACAAACTAATCGCAACACCACTAAAGGCTTCACATGTCCGCCATTTTCTCTGGAAAGCTGAGAAATCTCTGTTTTATTTCCACAGAAGTTTAGCACGCCCCGGCTTCTGCCTCGGCTTCATCTTTCAAAATTCTGCTAATCTATGATCGAAATCAAAACACACTTTGCTTGAATGTGATTTTTCTGGTGACAGTATCGTAGTCATCCGTGTAGCATTCTCCGTTTACCTCCGAATCTGCTACCCTACTATGACCGAAATTACGCTAGATTAGACACGAGGTACAAAACTACAACACGCCCGGCAATAGCTATGAAGCTTGAGCGCAATGCGCTGAACAACCTAGGAACATCCGGCTAGTGGTGTTGAATTCCAATGGATTGAGCAATTCTGCGTTTACTTGATGATTTGATTCGGTTGCACCACCCTTACCAGCTCAGACGAGCGTTTCCTCTACCGGTTGCTTTGCAATGCCTTGTTTGCTCCTCCGACTGGAAGTTGCCTTTAATTGGGCAACACCGAACCTAGAAACACCATGAGGAAATTGTGTTGATGTATGCCGCTGGTCGGGCCGCATCAGTGACCGAAGGTGCTCATGGGCTCAGGCAGCCACTGGCGTCTTTCTCAAGTGACGATCCACTTGTTTCGCCTCACTTTATTTGACCTCTGGATTTTAAATCCCGTTTACATCTTATACTGCATGCTGCGTACTATGACAGCTGATGAACTGTACTTGGTCAGCCGAGTGGCCCAGCACTATTTGGATTATGGTGAGCCAGAATGGGCGTTCTATGAAGTAAAGTTCTAACCAAATTAAAAATGTCTCAGATAGTGATTATGTCGACAAATCGGTTGATCGAATTAGTTGATTATCAAGTGATTAGTTTGCCAAGTTTGACTACTGGCTTACTACTTAGATGATATCATATGTTCGCACACAGCTCCCCAGAGAGACCGACAACCAACCCTGGTGGTGGATCAGAAACTCGATTAAAATGAATCGGTCAGAGTTATTAAGGAGACATCAAGATTAATCAGCAAACGGTTTAAAACATAATGACAAATCAACCGGGCCTCCGAACATAGACGACTTCTTAAGCATGGTCTAACATATGTGGCAAGCACACCAACAGTATAGGAACGCACACTAGTTTAGATGTGTGGTCGGAATATGTGACCACGATTGCTTGATTTCAATAATCCGTTACACCCAGTTGAGCACAGAACACCTTTCAAACGCATAAATGTCAGCTGCGCCTTGTTTACATAAGACTGTGTTTTGTCCTTCCAGAGGCTGGCTGGTCAGAATAGCTACTGTGTAGTCCGGCTGCAGCGTACCTTCAATCGATAGTGTCTGCGTGATCAAATTTTGTGTGCGCACGCACTCACATGTAGACTTGATAGGATCACAACTGTATGCCACCAGTCAGTCGTTCATCGAAGTCAGCTCGATCGATAGAGAATTTATGATTCACCGTGTTCATGGTATGCGAGTGGGGACCGATCGATCAGACTGCTTATTCAGAAAACTACTGGTGAAAAACCAGTGTTTGCTAGTTTCGTTAGTGAAAATCTGGTATTGTGAATGAGTGGAATGTTGGTAACCAACTTTTGTTGACGACCTCAGGTCATCTTGAATAAATTTTAGCAAAGTTCGGTGTAAAATTAGTCAATGGGTTGACACTTGGATTCACATTCCTCCCGGTTAAAATACCAACCACGGTAATGTGTCTTCTCCGCAGGTGTAAAAAGGCTGATTAATGCATTCGCAACCAGGAGAAAGACGGAGTTTCTGGCGAGCTTCGCACTCCAGCTTCATCCTACAGTAGTGGTGGTCAACTTTGTGGAACACATTCTCCAGAACAGACTCCATTCAAAGGGACCGGTCGACCAGTGCAAATTGGGATAGCGGGCTAGTGTCTTGTGAACCAAAAGCCACAATTTTATGACTGGAAGGTGACGGATATACTGATGTGTGATGTACTCACTCGAAAATAATCAACTTCATGAGTTTCTGTCGGCTCAAATGGTTGCCTAAGCAATTTAAACATCATCGCTCTGCTGTATGCCGAAAATTGCCTGCGAATTACCAGAAACGTCTCGCAGGTAGCATTTTAGAACGTCTAGACCATTTGTAACCGTCCTCACGGCACGTGGTATTCTACAGTACGCCTCAACAAGACACGCTTCTGGAAATATTAATAGGTGTCTCGACAAGATGTTTGTCCCCTTAAAATGAAGAAGAATTGTGAAATAGCTCCTATATCTTCCGTACGGCAACTAGTCCAGTGTACTTGGAGGTCTCCAGTGCCAGACCGAGTGGTGTGGTGGAGTCAGATATCCGAACCGCAGCAAGTGATCAGACGGCTTTTAATTTATGGAACTTAGACACATTGATGTGAAAGCACGATGTTCCTGCTGGTTTTTGTCGTTTTGGACCTGTCCGCTTGACCCACCGGGTGACCTATGTCCAGGATGGCCGGACTCCAATGAGACCTAAAAATAAGGGTCATTGCATCGTGAAAATATGCTGTAATTCTACAAAAATAACTATGAATAGCCAGAGAAGTGATGAGCTTTTGTGTGCTGCTCTATCTCATTGTTCAGCTTTTGTAGCTTTCGTGATAAAGCAAACGTAGTTACATCCACGACAACTGGTGACGTAAGTGCACGATATTCCGAAAATCCACATTTATACTAAGAACATGAACATGTTTTCGGCAAGGTCTTTTCAAGTCATACAGTTGCTAAGGTTGAGAGTGCACCAGCTATCATATTTGAACGGGCATGGTGTATAAATGCGGAACAGGAAGTCACGAGAGGCGGCTTTGGCTGCCTATCAAGGAACACCTAGTTCAGGTCACCAGTAGGGTGATTTCAGCTCGTCGGCGCGAGTAGAGTTGTGGGTGTGTTCATTACAGGGTGTATGCGTGAAGGGAGTTGAGTGGTACCATGGCAAGCATAACACAGAAACAAAGTGTTTTTGCCGATCGGCTCGTGATGTTGTATGGAGATAGCTCCATGCACTGCTATTGTGCGTTGCTGTACTGATCTGGATTGATTAGCTGGCGCTTTGTAAACAATTCGGAAGCTCTGGCTGGGTATCACGTTGTGCATGATTTAGGAAATATTGACTGTTGTGTAATGAGATAAACGGCAAAGCACACTCTCCTTGTGATATCTCATCCTGGAGTTAACTCCACATATTCAGGATCCACAGTGCCTGCCATGTGCTTAGAAGTTTAAAAGGCTTTAAATGGATTCAAACCGCTTACTTTTAGATGTAATCCCCCGTAATTTTAAGTTTTTAAAGAACCTCCATCCCAGCAGATCCCAGACGAAATGAACAGTTTTGACAAGCTCGCATTTTCCAAACCTAGTAATTTGACGTTCCTTGTGGTAAGAAAGCTCAACTCAAAATTTTATCAGCCAACACGACCTAAGGTCAGACCGACGCGCTATTATCTGGCAAAGTCATTTGACCCTAGTGATACGGGTTTGAGAAACAACCCTCTAGCCAGTCAACGGGACTATTCACTGGAAGTGAACTCGGGCTTCTATTGCATTGTTACCCAATACTGAGGAAGAAAAAGTTCGGCGAGTTGGAACAAACAAAGACCGACAGTCCCACTGTACCTCAAAACAAATCAGCTAGTACGGGCCACTCTCGAGCGAGCATGCTTGAAAAATCAGTACACCCTGTGAAAAATAGCGAACAATGCAGCCAAAATAAAATAGAACCTTAACAACTTATGGATGAAACACCTATTTTCTGGGGGTAGGACGTCTCGCGGATGGTAATGTATCTTCCCGGAATTGGAAAGGAACATCAAAATATGGGCTTCACAATTTGGAATATGACGCTAGAAATCACGGATTGTTCGAGAAGTTCCGTTCCGTTTCATTACAGAATTCAGTAAATGAGCTCAGCTGTTTGTGAAATCCATGTGGTGAATAGAAACGAGTTTCCAACCACATCTGCTAGATTGTGACTTCGTTCTAGGCTCAACCTCTTCAAAGTTGGCTGCAATGCAGATACTCCTGAATGCGGTATCAATTCAGTGAGCGTACTTTAATTAAGATCTTAGTCGACACTAACTCGCAGCTGACTAACCATTCAGCATACCCTGGTAAAAATCTGTTTAATTCTGATAAAGTTCATCGCATTGAGGTTGTCAGCTATCAGGGGGTTAACTTAAAGAAGAACGAAAACATAGAGTATACACTCACTTGCCCACCAATTCGGTTTTGAAGATAGACTGACCCGGAACTGGGTCAGCATTTGCTGTTTTTCAGCAAATGTGTGTGCTTCGCTAATTTCGTGCAATTTTGGTTCGCGGATGGCGCCTACTTGATGAGCCACAAGGAGTAGTACATTACGTCTGTCAACAAAATTCCTCCGTTTACTGTACGCTTCTGTATCATTGACCTACAACATGAAACAGCCGTATTAACCCCGGACCAGAAATCAACGCGAGTATTCTAACACCTACTCCGGCATCTCGTAACCCTCAGCTGAACTGAAAGTGCGACGTACAAGGCTGGTACAAGATCATCGTGAGCCTCTGCTCTTGTTTCAATGCTGGGAAATAACGGAAGTTGATGGTCAAAAACTCACTCACAAAGGGATGTCCGGTATTGAAAAGTACAAGCCCTCAGGTATTGTAAGATGGGAAGCCAATTAGCATCATTAATTATGACAGAATGTAAACAGCGCCGAGTCATCCTGATTGCGTTGAGAGACTGCAGCATTTTCCTAGACTGGCGGGCAGATAAGGAATTGGGAGATTCTGCTCAAACCTAGCCATAAAGATGGCGGTAAGGGATTTGATCACTATAAATAAGCTTCTCGTGGCTGAACTACTTGACTATCGTTGCCATTGTTCAACAATACAGCTCTGTCTCCTTGGTGTTCCATAATTTTGGGTCCTCGAGAGAGAGGACATTCAACAGCGGTAAACCTCTGAGGAGATTCTGTGGAGGTGAACTAAACTGCAAACTTACCTTGATTAACACACATGATTTTGCTGCCTCTTGCCAACTACTCTACCCATGTCCTTCTAAAATTTCACTTAGGTTGATCCAACTGTACCTGTTTTTGGCGTCTTCACCCAGTTTACATGTGAGTATCCGTGTCGGAATTTCGAAATACCGTGACATACAAATTACTCACTCCCATTTTGGCTTCCATATCAGGTGAAAGTTGGAGAATACGCCTCCAGAAAAATCGCGTGCTAAACCCCTACCTCATGGTATGGTCGTGCACGTGACTTACATGAGATCTGCCTCGTAAAGGAATGCATATTCACGCAAAATTCATTGTGTCGAGGCGATTATTCAAAGCTGAGCAAAGGATGAAAAGCCTGGAAATTCACGTGATCAGTAAACTTCGTGAGGGCTGATTGCCAGTACAAATGCAATGCTGCGGGTGTCCAGCATTTTGAATGAAGCGTATGGACTAAGCCGTGACAAGCATCTGGATAAGGGTCGCTAGCTCGTGAAACATAAGTCATCGCACTAATCGTATCCAGCAAGTTTTGTGGTTCTTGGTCGATTTTCATAGCAAATCAACAGGTGTGGCGCTGGGAGATCGAACTAACTCCTAGCTGAATCATTCGTCTCTAATATCCTTCAAACGAGTGTGCTATACAGAGACCGTTTCAAGCTTCATGACATTCGAGATATCGCAATGTATTCTCTCATTGCTGAAATCTCCGGGACAACCTGCTGTCACCTTCGCTGTTCTTGGAGATCGTTACGCAAAAAATTCAGCTTTGAGAAGTATTGGGTGGAGAGGAGTAATTTGAGTGCTGCTCAAAATGAAACAAAAGGCAACGCGTTCTGCAGCGCATTCATTTGAAGAATATCGAAAACCAGTGATTTAGCTAAGTCTGTGGTTAAAACCAACGTGATTCACAGAACAAGTGCAGGCCACTGATTGTGTTTAGTTTAGTTTTTAAATAGAACGTATGCTTGATGAATACTCCTCATTGTGCCCACTCAATAGGTCACAACAACCGCACACAGTGTTCCTGTGTCCGACAGTTAACCTTTCTTTTCTGGTGGCTTGTTTCCTATTGTCTCCAACTTGCTAGCCCACTCTGGTCATTATTCTATTGTACGAAACAGTGTGCAAAAGGCAGTTGGCGGGTAAAACGATCAAATGAAAATGGTCCGAGACAGCGGGGCACAATAACCCAGTAGCGGAATTAGCAGTAAACCAAGGCTCAATTTCTGTCGTTTCTCGGAAAGTTAAAGAGGGAAACCCTCACGTGCAAAAATTTTAGCAACTTATTCCTGCTCCACTGAAGTAGATCCATTCGCATGCCAATTTGGTTCTCGGGGGAGACCCAAATGAATCTTTCGTCACGATTAGGTACAAGTGGAACATAAGGTTGAAAAAACCTGTGGGAGTGCACCGAGTTGATTAGCTACAATAAGGGCGGAAACGGTTGGGGGCTGTCGAAGGGATTTCAGCGGCCTTAGGAGTAGTGTGTTAAGTCCATTTATTGGTTTTTGATTTTCAGTGAAATGACTTTAATTAGAAAAGTATGGTTAGGCAGTGAGGTGAGAAAGCACATTAAACCGAGTTAGACGACTTCAAGGCCTATGTTGGAACTGTTTTAGAATGCACCAAAGTACGGTTCATATTGTTTGAATTTACAGACTGGTGAGGCGGTAACTTAAACTCCACAGCTAGACTGATTGCGAAAACGCAGTTCACCAATGGAGTATACATGAGTTTTTTACTCCAGTTCGCCTTCTAAAAGCCTGCCAAGCTGAACGTCTTGTCCAGTTAACGTACAAGTATTCCAACACAAGATACATTGCGCTTTACCGTCATAATTCCTGACAGCGTTTTACCATTTAGGTCATATTGTGGCAGGGCCTCAGCGATGTGTAGCAGGCATCGCAAAATAAGCAAGTGGAAGCCGTTTGTTGTAGAAGAATCAAACTATCGGAAGAAAAATAACATGACCGAGAGTGTCCGTGGGAGAAAGCTGGACTCGAAAAAAACACTGATTTAGGTTTCTGCTGCCAACATGAACCGGTACCAGTTCTTTGATGCAGCACTAGAGATGATGGTTGTTGACAGCATTAGGAGGAATACGAGAGCAACACAATGTGACATCCCGGTGAGCAGGAAATCCGGAGACCATCCGGAATACAGCAGCCAGGAACAAGAATAAACACAACACGAATATGACAGTAGTGACTGAGTGTGGGCGGGAAGCCCGCTCGTATTCAATTGGATTCATTCACTGTCTTCTGACTGATCGCATCTGATCTGGCGATCACTGCTCTCGTTACAATATCACAGCTGGGTTGTAAACTGATGATGTGGAAAGCCAAATTTAGCCAGTAGCACAATCATGCACGAGAGCCATATCACACCGTTCTGTGTGCGAATGCTCTGAACCGATGGGAATCGAGAACCTTGGTTTATTTTGGATTGGATAATAAATCGATTACAGCGCCGGCTTCATTGAATGACTGCTCACAAAGAACAACTTGGCATCATGAAATCTTTGGAAATCAATGTTTACGAGGCAAGATATTTCATTGGCGCACTGCCGTTTCAGCAAGACCAGTTGAGCAGGGAATCAGGTCAGTTGCTCATTACGGCTTGCCGACAAACCGTCTCCATCTGCAGTAGTGTAGAGGGTGAGATCAAACTACGACTCTCCAGCAGGTTGGCTATCCAATGAAACGTCCTCCGTAGTTGTCTGATTACTTTCGGTATTCCGCATCTGTTGATCTGCAATGTGAGAGAGTGCAACATTGCCGCTTGGTGAGAGACCTCCCAATCAGCACTTGCTCAGTCATCAAGCTCGTTTATGACAGCTCTCGGCCGTGTGGCTTCTCATCGAGTTGGACAGATGTACCTGCAACAGGTGGCTTGCGTTACCTTCCCATTCTCTATACACTTGTTCGTTAGCATGTAGTGCGCAAGGTTTTTTTCAAATTTGTTCGTTCGCTTGCTGTGGTCAGTCCGCCAGGGATGAAGCCTGGTTCTGCTTTAGTGTCAAGGTAGTCAAGACAATAAACCATTGTGAAACTGATTCGCTACGTTCGAAGCTTAGTCAGACCAATGGCCGGTCGTTGAGTGATAAAGTACACTGTTGCCGTGCCATTTCAACCTAAACTCAGGTAACCAGGAAATCGTGATGGAGGTGGGTTCTTAATTAATTCATGCTGTTCTCTGACAGAATACAACCAAAGTCATCCATGAATAACTAAACCTTGATGTGGTTTCCACAATCGTGACCTGGTGCACTCAGCAGACAAGCCAGAATTTTAATGATGAATGCGTAGAGGCGCGCGAGATGCTTCCAGATGAAAAACCTCGCACAGCCAAATTCGACATTGGTCGTCAAAGGTTAGGGTCTATTGTGAAGTGCGGAGTTTCGCTAGTTTCCTCTAGAACAAAAATCGATTGGGAAAGTTGAGAAAGTGAGCGCCTTGAGAGGATGTGAAAGACTGTCGAAATTTCAGGTAAAGTTAGAGAGATCGCCACAGGTCTATCCAGTCTTGCAAGTAATTTTCGCTCAGTTGAGTAAGGTTAGTCAGAACCAAGCGTATCGGCTGGTTAGTTTCTCCACCAGTGCAAGTACTTTCTCGGTCCGTAGTACTTTGGCCAGATGAATCACGTTAAGCGTCCTACACTGAGATAAAGTGCATGGCCAGAATTCGCAACAGTTACGCCTGTAGTCATGGTGGAGGGACCGATAAATCCAGCCATCGCAACTGAAGTCCGCCATGTTAGTCACTGGACTACCGGCCTTGAAAAAAACCTGTTATTATTCTTGTGTGTGGATCGGCCTGGGTTGTCGGTGAGATTAAGCAGTGCAAATCTGCGTGGCATATGAAATAAAGTATTCCATATGAGGGTTGTTTAGCAAGCACTTTGATGTCCAGAAGAATTCCTCCTAGAAACTACAGGATACTTAGGCCGAACAGGATTTAGACAGTGCATTTCAATCCAAAACAAATCCGTCTTACACACAGTTGCCGTTTAAAAGCGACAGGATATCTCAAACTAGCTCACGTTGCATAAAATCTCGCCAAAAATATTCAGAAAAGCCCAAACACAGATCCACGTAGTTAGCATCTACATGGTCATTACAAATCCGCAAGGTAGATTTCTAGCCTACCATTCTTCTCAGCATTAAATCTCTCCATTTTCTATCAGTGTTCCACAAACTATGTGGGTCCATCGACCTGGCGTTTAGCCTAGACAACAACTGAGGGCTTGCCAAGCACATAACCGGTGCAGTTGCAAGCTGTCTAATTGATACGGACCACCAACTAAACCCCACCCAGCCATTCAACACGACTCTCCATGTGCCGCCTAGTCGTTCGAAGGTCATTCACAATGATGAATCCGAATCGGAGGAAGCGATTCCAGCTAAGTTGTGCCAACCATCACTTTGTCATTGAACTCAATAGAACTTGGTCTAATCGATGAAGCCTCTTTGGGACAAACCAGAAGCTCGTTTAAAGACCAGTGACTTCTGAGTTATGACCAATGAGGTCTAGCCTGCTAGGCTTTCAACGCTGTTAACTATTTGTAACTGTACTTGTCTGATAGGGTTATATCTCGAAGTAAATGTGCGTATAGATTTTCCAGAACAGAGGTAATTTCCAATGCAGAATCATGAGAAAGTATCAAGTCGTCAGTCACTCACGATTTATGAAAAACATTGGTCAGTACACTAAACTTTTTGGAAGACCCAACGCTAACCTACAAGGGTGGATTAACCTGGGCTTCTCAAGAGGATTTAAGAACCTGAATTTGAGGGTGATAAATCTGTGCGATTGAACATTAAATATTGAAAAAGTAAGTAGACCACCGAAGTAATCAGTAGGATAAATCCTTATGCAGCATAGAAAACAACGGTGATTATCGGGAGCTGGAGGAATACTGAGTGATCTCGTGTTGTCTCATTCCATCCTTCAAATGTATTGCCTTCAATCAGGATTATGGCGAATGCCGCTGTTTGCCTATCCCAGGCTAAATTACTAGCTAAGTCAAGACAAATTTTTGTCGAAGGGAGTTAACCAACAGTTTAGGTCACTGTAACATCTAGGATTTTGACTGAAACTGTTCGGGTTGACAGTTAAATGAAAAATTAGCTCAGTGACAAGTTTGTCCTGGGGGGGGGGGAGGGGGTTAGTCAGACATTAGAAGAACCGGTAAATATTCCCACCTTCGAATTTTGGAATTCCTGAGAGAAGGTTCGGGCCATTTAGGAGCGCTGAGTCTCTGGACTACGAACACTCATTAATTTTAAGCTATTTGCCACTCAGGATCGAGCACAGTGGATGAGCGACCGAAAGAAATGTGGAACATACCGATTCGCGATACAGAATATTTCATCCCATAAAGCGCCCTTTGCTGTTGGCTTCACTCAGCAAATTCTATTCAGTGGAATGCTGGTGACTAAGTTGGTGTGTGGTTGTTCGTTTGTTTGCTGAGATTGGCACTGCGGTGGTGAGTGTTTCGGCACTACCCTAAGTGACGTCATCAGTGTGTAGAAGGTAGCGTTGTGTCATGGTTAATCGGGGAATGTCAGCTCAGAATGCGCTTGTCTAAACAAGCACTCTGATGTCCTCAAGCCACCCTTGTGAAGCGTTCACACAAAAAAAGATTTCTTTCATAGGCGGCGCATAGCTTTGAAAGCACCGGCATCTGAACGCCGGATGTGACACGCGAGGTCATCATATTACCATTACTCTACTAACATATGATAGAATCATCTGAGTTGTCTGTCTCGGTAGGCGAAAGCTTCCACGCTTGGTTCTAGACAACCCGACACGTATCTACTGGGCATATCTACCAGACACCTGAGTTAAGGCATATGCTTTAACAGACCAAGGTAGTCAGTCGAACGACAAGTTTACCGGACCACCACAGATTACTGTGTCACAGGGAAGAGTCAAATGGTGGAATCCGACCATTTGAACTTACTCGTTACAAACCATCTTGTGGTCTTTCTGAGGAGTGTATTGGCCGCATTTCTGTCTGCGTCCCTCCATTCTAATTTCGTCTAATGAGCGGCATTCCAGTGTGACTCGGGTTGCGGTTCAAACAGCGAGCCAAACGGCGGAATGGTTAGCTTCGTGGGATGAAGTCTGAGTTATGAACGACTCCAATATCTTTGTTATCTCATCGTCCTTCTTACTCATGGATATATCTGACGATACATTGGCAACATCAGAATGGTCAACCACAACGCAGCGTAAATCGCAAATGAGCCAATAATATTACAGGAAAGGTATGTAATAATTGGCCAAACATATGAGGTGATACTAGATACTCTTCGAAAACTATAGAAAAGCGGCAAGGTAAGGAGGAAGTACCCAAGAAACTCTACACTGACAATATATCCTCGATTGAGGAGGAAACATTTACAAGTCAACTGCCAAGCTGGGCAAACAGATCAACGACCATCTGATTAAGCACTTTCCAGGTTTCGTGGTGATGAAATTAGATCACACTACACGGCATGAACATTAACTAATCAGATGTGTAGCTAGTTAATCAATCAACCAATCAATGAATGCGACGCCAACGAGGATAACAAACATTTTGGGTGTGAGATGTAACCATGAGGTTGGTCCACAATTATGCCAAGCCGTCCAAATTAGTGGGTGGATTAAAGCCAGCAAATCCCGAGTGGGTGACAGGAAATGAGTGCAAAATTTATCAATAAACCTATTATTAAGTAATTCTCCAGCTGTTTCGATGCCTGGTCACCATGCTATCCGAAAGAAGCACGGGGGCTATGACAATGCCAGGCTGCCCAATTCTAGAAAGGAGCCAGTGAGGTGCACGGGTTTGGCATGAATTAGGGACCATCCAGGCACGAGTTCGCACCTTAAACTTGTGCAAAAATGATCTAAAAATAACTCAAAGATATTCCAAAACTTAACCATTCAAGTGATTACTAGCACTTTCTTGCAAAGCCTGAAATGGGCTTGTTCTGAACTGTGTCCGGACCGACTCTAATGGCATCTCCTAATATCTCAACAGAAAACAGGATGCTCTTTTTCTTTACCTTCAAATTGTGAATTACAAAATGTAAAAGTTTCTTGGATGACCTGTTAAAAACCATGTTCTCAGCCGAATAGGAACGCCTGTGCACCCGTAGTTCTCCGTCAGGGATTTGCACTAATTTAGTAAAATTTGCGCGAAATCCCCGCAGAGCGTGAGCATTATCCTGGTATTTGATCAGCGTCTGGAATTTATACGCTCCGAGGGAAGCATGTTAAATTCCTTTTAAAACTTTGGACTAGGTGTTATCAACTGGTATGTAATTAACATACGTGTTTCTATCTAGCATACCTGTTTCATAAGACATCAAGGTCATTCTCGTTGTGTTCGGCCTTATTAAGCCTAGCTTATCTGGCCTATCAGTGATTTACATTGCCGAAGGTCTCCTTTTCAATAGATTGATCGTTTGCACGATCGATATGAGGTAAGCTTCTGTCCTCGTTTTAGACTTTTCCCGAAGTAATGATCAAAATAACGCTAGTAAATTGGAAACAGTGGAAAGAAACTAGTACTGATGCTTTAAGTGGTGTTTCGTTATTCACCAACAAACTCCTCAGTCGTGAAGCATCGTCGTAAGCTTCAAACCGGACGAGGCTGAAAAATTGTCCCACTTCGCTTCAGTGGGATTACTGACTCGAGAGGGGGTACATTATCTGACTGATTAGCAGTTGCCTTTATCGTTTTCCCATCACTCTTTTGAAGACTCCAGGGTTTAATTCTTTCGATGGGACACCCAATTACATCGGGTTCAGCACTCTGTCTTTCGTAAGATGTGTAATGCTGATGGTTCCCAATAAGGTTTTAAACAGATGTCAGCGCTTCTCGGCTTTTCAATACAGACTGGCCTTGCTTACGGTAAGAAACTTCCATCAAAAATCACAAAACCACGTCCGACAGGCTCACCTCTCCACCAGATCAACAACTTTTGAACGACCACCTTTCAAGGTGGTCGGGTTTGAGAGCGTCGGTGATCTGGTAAACTTTGCTCCCGAAGATTCTACAATACCAGTTTGGCAAAGTGTATCCGGCACCGTGTTGTGGTCAGTCCTATTATTAGCCGGCTTGCAGGTAATTTCATAAGTTTCTCCAAAGTACGAATGTGAAACCTGTGAGGTGTACACCAGATAACTGATTAGCCAGAAGGAGTAGGCCTCGCAAGCTGCGGAACGCCTTCTCCCAGAAGTTGATTGTAACGTCCAGCGCACTAAACTGCACTACAGAAAAGCTTCTGATCCTTATCAAAAGTCCTTTAGGGCTTTCAAAACAGCTGAATGCTTGGAAACATGGGAATAGGGCATCCAAGCCATGTCCCATGCGTCCTCAAGTAGGACAAGCTCTAACACCCAAGGTAAGCGGAACTGTGAGTCGTTGGCTCCTAGTATGGTTTACGGATGAAAGTTCAACCCTGATGCTTTTCAAATTCTTGGATTAGTCAAAGATTAGGATACTTTTTCAAATTAATTTATGCATCATTCCATTGCATTGTGAAGTAAACTCCGAGAGGAAGGAAGACCAGCTCAGCCAAATTTTGTTGGCCTGAGTAGTCCATGGTAAAACCTTCCATTCGCCATTTCTCATTCACAGACTCTTCAAATCCTTTAGGTAAACAGTAGTGGATCATGTGCCCATACTATGGCTCTGTGGACGCACTATTAACAGGTTGAACCAACTTCTGACGGTCAGCTGTAGTAAAGTTAAGAAAGGTTAAATGAGCACGAAGGTGAATTTTGGCACAAACTACCCTGATGGTGTCACAGTTATTGCGCCGGTGTAGAGATTATGGTACCTAAGGAGTTGAACCAGCAAGAGGGTTTGTCCACAGATCACTTATAACCAAAGTACGATTAACGGAAGAAGACAAGGTTCCGTGGGAGCATAGATGGCTTCAAACGGAACGGAGTGACGTGAATGCTTAGTTTGAGAGATAAATATCTTGGTAGATGCTACTGCGGTTGCTGGCCAAGGAGTCGGCTGGGAAATTCTTTGGAATTCCTTTTCGAAACGTTCTTAAACGGTCCTGTTGTAAGGCAGGTTTCTTCCTCAAAAAACTCGACGAACGGATCAAGGCGACAATACAGTCATTGTCGGAGGATGCATACGGTCTTGGACCTCATAGTGTAAAATCTTGTGGTACAAATTTGTAAGACACCAGTCGCTGGATTTTGGTGGAGATTCCTTCAATAATAAGAGATTGGCCGAGATCTCTGACGATGGTTGTTGCCAAGTGTTCCACAGTACCGGCTTTTTGGTAGAGTACGCTGAGGGATGATGGGCTATGTATTTTGCCCTCACAATCATTGAGGAAACAAAGCCCCTGAGATAAATACGAGATTTTGTTCAAGACAGTTTGGATGCTAGAATATGGTTCGCCAATTCAGCCGGTAAAGTCGATCAAAACAACGTTGGAAAATTCCTTTTCCTGAGTATCTCATCCAATAGAAAAAATATGTTGAGGATGAAGTTAGAATATGGTTCGCCAATTCAGCCGGTAAATTCGATCAAAACAACGTTGGAAAATACCTTTTCCTGAGTATCTCATCCAATACAAAAATAGGTTGAGGATGAAGTGATCAGCTATCGCGTGCCAACAGCAAACCGAACATCTTGAGGCCGTGCTTAAACAGCTACTTGTAGCCTTCCGGAAAATTCTTCAACAGCCCATGACAGCTTCTGTTCTTTCGGGGCTCACTTGGTAGACAGTCACCAAGGTTTTCACAAGAAAATGTACCGCAATTTCTTGAATACGGTACCAGCTGAAACATATCCAATAGTAGGGTCTCCAAAACGAGGGATTAAAACGTTTCATCACCAACTGAGATGACATTGTCAGTGCGGGGTTGAGTGGGTGAATTCCTCCTCTACTGCCTGTGCCTATACAGCCTTTAAACAGCATCTGATGGCTCTGAAGGCGTTCTCCGCCTAGTTTGATTTCCCTCCATGTGAATCTGAGTTGGTCTCAATCTCTTGTGTCTGGTTGGTCCGACGAGCGCATTCAGTTCAACAGTTTTGTGTGTGATTGTTTTGCCGCGATTCGGTTGTTTTCTTCCTGTTTTGTGGTCTGAGTTTGTTCTCTTGATTAACTGGTTCAGCGGTCTCATGATTTTAGTAGGTTTATTCCTTTTATCCCATTGGTCCGTTGGTTGTCGTTCAATTTCTTGATTTCCCATGTGGCTCAGAGTACCGTGGCTGTGGTTCTTTTGCTCGTAACGCCTGACAGACTGATCATTGTCGATGTGTTTATTGATCGACTTTTGTGTGGAGTACTAGGCCCCGGCAAACTCTCGCTCCCGTTTTATTCTTGCGTGAGCGAGTATCTGAACACTGTCCCAAATGAACTTGCGTCCTTCTCTGTCTTTGTGAATTGGGACAAGTGACATTGGGACATGTCTTATGCTAGCAAGCTTAATCACGTGTATTCTGGTAGTAAGTTTTCTTTCAGTTTGGCCAACATGGTGTCTGTCGCAGTCGTTGCACTTAAGTTTGTAGACCACCTTCGTCTTCTTCACTGCATCCAGCCATTTTTGGTTTAGAGAGAGTGCTTCTCAACGTGTTTGCAAGCTTGAGGGTGACTGTAATTTCATATTATCGTAAATGTTGTGCAGTCATCTCCACGACGTTTCTGATACACGGCAGCGTAATCTTCCTCTCTTCCGGTTGTGTTGACAGATCAGCTTGTTGATCGTCTCGTAAGCACCTCCATTTTGAATTCCTCGGGTAGCCGTTAGTTCGGAATGTCTTGTAGAGTCTTTAATCTTCTTTTTTTCTTCGCCTCTGTTGTGTTGCAATTCGTCTCGATCCGCGTGAATATGGTTCCAACACATCTCCATTTGTGGCAGTTCGGATAGTTGCTGTAGTAGTTCAGAACCGGGTCTGCATGCGCCTCTTACTTGCAGTTAGTCGTTTCTTTTCCTTGTGACGAGCACACCTAGGAGGGCCCCCGCCGTTTTCATTGTGAGATGAATGTCGGGCAACCCGTTGTTCAGCAGTTTTTTCGCTCGTGACAGCTTATTTCTCTTTACAATAGCAAACATGTCGTACACATTGCTATTCATTCAATGTTTCAACACTGTCTAAACGCTGCCACATTTCCTGATAGAGCTCTTTGGTTATCACATGGAAGTTTTAAAGTCAAAACACGGCCAAGCGTAACCGAAACGTCGGATTAATATATCCTATTCCGTTCCATTGAGTTATGACATCATAATTTACATAATATACACCACCTACTATACTATACTATACTATACTATACTATACTATACTATACTATACTATACTATACTATACTATACTATACTATACTATACTATACTATACTACACAACACCGCCGCACATCCATTTTAACACAATTCAAGCCAAATATGGCCTGGAAGTCGGATCTCTTTTGCTTTCACCTGCTGTGATACAACCAGACTACTCTAAACAAATTATGCTTTCTCACGGGAGTTTTAGTTTAGTTAAACATTGTATAACAATGGATTTTCATGCCATTGGCTTGGTTAATACCAGTACCGATGGGAATCGTTGCGAGAGGCCTGGTTACTTAGAACGGGTAGCGTCCTCTCGAAACTGAGTGCAAGTTCGACGTCTTAGTCTCAAAATGAAACAAATAACCTCTGGGGTATCTGAAATTGTATGTCGTGATCGACAGATATGGGTCAAACAAGTGCACTCGATGGGTGAATATCACAGTGCAAAAGTGCATCGACAATAAGATATGTTCCGGTGACCTGAATTCAGTTATACTGTAGTAAATAACGTTTGTCAGCTTCAGTACTTTTGGTAGCGGTTAGTCTGGAAACGCATCCAAGTTCGACTCAAGAGTGTTACACTACACGTGTCGACACTCCTAAATCTTTTGTTTTTGTTAACAAACAGCTTGTAGACAATTACGGGTCAGTGAGATTCTGTGCATTAGCAACCAGTTTTTTCTAGCTGAATCAATGTTCTTCAGTTCCAGAGAGAGAGAGATCTGGGAAGCCGCGGAAGAATTGTGATGAACAAACCCTGAACGCGATTGTCAGTTAGCTGAGATGTGTGATGAATGCTAGTAGGTTTTGTTGAACTATTGCGATCAAAAGTGATTGACTTTGGGAACAAACTCGGAGTATTGGCGGGTTCGATTAAGAAGTTAGCGACCTCAATTCGACAGCGTTTATTGTTAAAAGCGTCTGGAATTTCTCAAAGACGATAATGTTCTGTAAGCGAAGTCAGTGTTCGCTGAAGAACCGAGAAGCACTGTAAGTATTTGAAGTCGTCAGTAGCGTGTGATAGTTGAACATCAGACGATTAGTTGATCAGCAATGTAAGTAACTCGCACTTAGGCAGGATACCGTTCCACCTGTCTGTCAATCACCAGGTCCACATGTGTTGATCAGCTCCTTGAATAAAGACTTCTCAATTGGAAGGTTCAATCGTCGTGTGAATGATTACTTCTTTGAACCGGTGTTAGGAGATTTTGGAATTTTCATTTGCGATTCCTGGTGAGAATGGAGCTTATCTACGGTGAAAAGCGGCAAAGCACTTTCCAGCCATTCTACGCTTATTGGGAATTATCAGTAGTGCATTAGTCAAGGAACCCAGGAAGGTTTGTGGGAACACGTACAATTTTCACCACCAGTGGCTGATCAGTAGTGCGACTGAATTTGTTGGTCATTTTTACGAATTCGGGAAGTCACACTGCTGCACCTGACGAGGTGTTGGAAGACCATTGCCAAATGTACTACATGACGCTTTAATCGATCTTCTGCAGTCCTCTTCTTTTGTTGACCGATCGATGAGGTCTTGGATTTTCAGTAATGCCTCTGGATTCACATCTCAGGTGGTCTGTAGCGTAGTAGTTGTTTTTTTTCGGCAATTTGGTTTTAACTTATTCATTCCCAGTCGAGGCGACATTGCCAGTGCGTTGAGGATGGATTACACTTGCACTCTCAGTTGATGGTATCACCTTGCAACCAAATCGATCAACTCAGCCAACAAACCTAAGTCCATCATTAGAGCTTGAGCTGCCAAGGTTCTCTTTACTTACAGCGTACTATGTAGAAACAGTGTGGAAAGAAACCAAAGCAAGACACAGCTAATGTTTTAGTTTGGTAGAACAAAGAATGAAGTTAATTTGCGTGTGCGGTCATGGGCGTAGGAATTTGTTCACGAAAGAAGTTGGGGTAGTTAGAGCAGATGACGAAAAAAATTGACAGCCGAAATCTGAGTGCATTCTTCATACTGGAAACTGTGTAAAAAACAATCGCTTGCAAGTAAGGTTGTATGCTTTGCCACATTTGTAGGTTATACCAATAAATAGCATTCTGCGAGTAAAGCACCATGACTGCATTGAAGGTTTCACTACGGAATCAATTGCTAGAAACGGTTAGACTGGAGCTATGGATACCTATCAAAGCTATTCATACAAAGGATTTAGGCAGGAAAGCTGTCATACTAACGGATATTACGTGGCACAAAAAACAGCATCATATCCAGGTCCGGAAGTCACCGGTTCGTGTGTCGTTTTTTCGTCTGGCTCTTTCAATCATTGTACACCGAACAGGCTCACGTTCACTGCTCAGAATTCCAGTCATAGTGAGACTGCGCCTGCGCTGATTGGCTGTTGCCTCTGGGTCGATATGGCGTAGATCGCGTAGCACACAACAGGCGCGAAATACTGGTTTGTAAACACTTTGATCCATTTAACCCAGTGTTGTGTTGATTGTGTATCGTTCGGATCAGGTGTGGGATTACTGATTACGTCAGAATGAAACGACTCGAGAGCTGAAGAGAACACCGAGCTGATTTATTGCCTTTTCGGAAGACATTCGGCTGGACTGTTTTAAACGTGAGTTCCAAAAGCCTTTATATGCCGTTTTAACTGACATGTTCGGGGAAGGAAACTCAAAAACTAGGTCAAACTCAAATATAAATTTCTACGGATAGAACAAGGATGGTGCCCTTCAAACCGTCTTTTCGTAATCAACCAACATACCAATCTAGGAGTTGCACTGTGTGAATAGGAGCTCCATAAAACCATCCATCCATGGTGGGAAAGTTCTTCTGAAGCCTTGCAGCTGAGGATATTGTAAGTTATCAGGCTCTGACTTAAAATGTGTTTTACTTTACAAAACACCAACGGACATTCTGATAGGATGAATATATCAGTGAGGATAGCCTAGAATTTTCTGTCTTCTCATTGGTGACTTACCGCCGAGACTGAAATTTTGCCACTGGCCAACGGAATGCATCACGGTGGACTAACCTGCGTGAGATTTTGTGGTTCAGGCCACGTACAGAATAAACCACATGGAGCGGTTCGCATTTTAGGATCCCTGTGATGTGCTTAAGAGGTTCCACAGTGTCATCCGATTACCATGCAGTCAGTTAAGGTCTCTATGAGTACAAACAGACTGGTTTTCGCTTTGTTGTGGAATCTGGGAGTTCTTTTTCACAAAACCTCCAGAATGCAAATTGATTTCTATGGCTGGGAGTGGGATGCGGAAAAACCAATCGGTAGGAACACAGTTAGATAACGGAACTAGTTTGGCTTGTGTCAATTTGTTATGGACCTGTTTTTGGGGAAGGGGGGAGGTAGAGGCTTCTTCACGAGAACAGGCACATAGTTTTCTGCTCCCCCTCTAGAATTATCCAGCAGGTAAGCTCCGAGACTTCTGACTGGTTAGCCTAGACTTCTTAGGGCTGATTTGAGTTATTGCTCAAAATGACTCACTATACACAACGAGAGAACTAAACTTACTTTGTTGACATAATCTACTACTCAAAGGGTTGCTGAAAACGTTGCAAAATAGGATTATTTCGCAGCTGGATTTAGTGCTTGAAGAAGAACATTTCACACAAATCGGACTTTGTACACGCAAGAGTGGAAGAACAGTGCGCGTGACCTTGTTTGAACAGCGCGCGGAAAAATGCGCTCACATACAACCGACATGTTGCATAAATTACGAAAGACAAAAGGCACTTTTATGCATACGCAGCACCTTAATAGCTGTCTCCCTCGCTGAGTCAGTTCGATAAGACTGGTCACACTTAGCCATTTCATTAGCTTCTGCAGTATGATAGCAACGCAGAGTGTTTGAAAATGTAATGCAAAATGATGTTGCAGGTCTTGTCTTACGAAACTCGCATCACCCGACGCATCAAATCCATGGAGAATTTTTCCCCATTGATTTATTAGATATACACTAACCCAACATAACAGGGCAAGCTGCACTTTATGTGTAATTCTTCTGCTTGACTAACTGCGGACGAACCAATGCCATTAAATGACCTTTCGGAAGGCTTCATTTAGTTAAGTATCAGGCCTTACACAAGATCTGATAGTTACTAAACCACGGGGCCAAAAACTGACGCAGTGTTTGCAATTTGTTCTACGTTGTGTCTTTGACGAAATCGAAATTGGATTCCGTATTTATTCGGCTTATTGGGCACGAATGTAGGCATCATGATGTACCCACCCCCATAATTACCTACAAATTCAACTGTGGCACAGTTACATCAGACCATGACTTCTCCCGCGTGTCCTCTCAATTTTTAGTGGAACATAAGCATCTTTTAGCCCGATGAGGAGCATCCCCGATAAACATCTGCCCTGGCAAATTTACGGTAGAATCCACAACTAGATTACAGGCCAGTTCTCTTTAATTTCTGTGATTTTACCTCTTCAGAACAAGTCGTACGACCTGGTACCATGGCCTAATGCGGAATAAGAAACAGAGTTTCGACTGCACAGTAACGTTTGGTTTAACCGTGGAAATGATGTTCACCCAAAAGCTTCTCAGGAGCTGGTCAATGCCATAAATACCACCTTGACAGAAAACTGTGGCTTGCCATCTTTCTTTCCCCAGTAGTTGTAGACGCATAGGCCACTATAACTGTTGGCATTAATAGCCTATAAGATTTGACAATCCCGGGTGTATAACCGATTGGTGAAAGCGAGTCACCCACACAGTACGACGCAGTCGTGTCTGAGATCACCGGACGACTCTGTTGTGAAAAAAAAACAGCCCCGAGAGTACCCATTGCTATCTTTTTACAACCCAAAGACACGACACTTTCGCTGGTCGCCAAAATTGACGGCGTAGCCCGCCTGAAATTCCTCCGTCGTTTTTCGATGCCTTTTATCACAAAGTGATAGGCGAAATTGTCTAAAAAGCAACGAAATGGTAATTTGATATCTGAAAAGAAATGTACGTCAGGTTTTATTTAGAACATACGCGGAGCCATTTCCTAGCGCACAATTAAGTTTTTCTTGCGTATTAAACAAACAGTGTGCCCCAATGCATCGGCATTTCAATGCGGTGGTTGAAGAAACTGCGTTTGGAGCCCGCTGTGGTGGGTCATGAAGCATGGGTTCGATCACTCAGATGCAGAGAATGTTTTTTCTGCTTTGGTAAAATTTCCGACTGGGTATAACTCACTATTATCTGAGTCCAAAACCTGAAGTCACTTTTCAAGCTTTGGAAGGGTTGGGTAGGTTCTGAATGTCTATCGGCAGACGGAAACTGTAGAACATTATTCTATTTTCACTCACAAAAGGGCTGTAGAATTTTCGTCCGCGACACTCAAGGGTGTAAAAAACTAGCTTAGCTGTGATCACTCTGTTTACTATTCTATTTTATGTCCCCACCCGGATCTTTGAGAAGTAGGGATGCTGACTTAAGTTGGGTGTAAAATCGAAGGTTAAAGCTACAAATCGATGGATCACCTTCCTCAACAGCATCAATAATACTCGCACAGTAAACTTGTTGAATTTGGTGAAAACACAGATTCTGTTCAACAGTTTGAGCGATTCAGTACACCGAAACACAACTATGGTCTATCTGAGACTTCGCTCTCAGCGTACACCAAGTCTGTTAGACTACCCTTCTGCTTTCATATGTTACGGTCAATCTGATATTGCTGACCAGGTAGGATTAGTTCGTACGAGCGTCTTTACAGATTTCTATCTTTAGAAGCCCATAGAGTAAATGACTCGCCTTGTTACAAGAGAGGTGAAGCAAGCGTTCAAACCACGATGCAGTACTTCTTCAAGTAACGTTTAGAAACACTACGCTCTGTTACCGGAGTTCACATGTGGTGGGATAAAGTGCGAATCAAACCCTTTCGCAAGGCCTACTTCCTTCTTGAAGCTCCAGGGGTAAAGCGAAAGCACATGGCCGAGCTTTTCATCTATGTTTGATGCTGCAACAGTTGAAGTAGAGAACCAAACATAAAAAACCGTCAAATTACTGATCCGCAATGAGCCACGCGGACGCGAACTCTTACGCATTTTCCAAATGATAACTTCATGAAAGATGCTCCTTCTTCTTGTCCGAAGAGGACAAGTTGGACGAAGAGCCATCGATAGTTCTGTTGCTCTGATGTTCTGGCAGAACCGACTATTGTTCTAGATTCTTTCAGAATAAATGGTATGCATTACAGTTCCTATATGGGCCTCTAAGGTCAAATAAAACTACAGTTGTTTGGGGAGACCATGCCGAATGAGAACTGACCAAAGGTGCCTAAGTTTTGGAAGGGACTCCCTAGACCGGGTATCCTCTGAAGGTAGCCTTTCCGGTGGAAGTCAACCACGTTCCAAAGAAAATGAATTCCAGAAATACACTCATTTGCAAATCAATTTGGTTCTCACGGGACACTCAATCGAATCTCTCGTTTAAGATGTCCCTCAGCTGGATGTGCTGCACACAGGCGAAACCAGTCGTGGGCTGTCGAAGAGTTTTCAGCAACCTTGTGAGTAGTTTCCTTTATGAGAATGAATTCCACTTCTAAATTGCCATCCACCTCCAATTAAAACAATCCGACACCAACAGTTCAGTATAAAGGATTCTTGAAGTCAAAGGGTGAATTTGTGACAAATATTTATTGAAAAAAGGAAAACCGACGACATGTGAGGCGACTAAGTTAACCAACCCTTTAATCTTATGGAATCTTTTATCCGACCTAGTGATCCCGAGACATCGACACCAATGAGTCAGTTCTTAAATTAATCCTTCGATTCTCGGACAATTCCAACTTCTCATGTTTCTTAGTCCTATGTATAATCGATCGTGTCAGGTGATCATGGTTTCACATGAGAATAAGGGTTGATAGTCCTCATAAAGCGAGAAAACTGGAGTTATCTTGTGTTCCCTTCTGGGTCCTTGAGAGTATAGTCCTGCTAGTGGTACGAAGCATTTTTTACCCGTTATTCTTACCTTCGTTGCATTTATCTACCGAGCGTTCAACCTAAGTTCTGTGGGGCTTGTGCTCAGGTTATTTCTTTTCCCTTTATTTGAGAAGGAATTATTGACTAGCGTTTGCATTGTGCGTTTCTGGCTTCCATTTTGATTTATCGTCCATTGCATAGGCTCACGCAGTCACTGGATCCGATCCAACTGTGTGTATGACAGTGAGTTTTGTGAAATGTCATAGAGGCCATATGTTATTTCCTCTCCACATCATGATCATCCAAATTAAGACAGTCAAACTTGAAAAACTGTGGGCTGTTTACGGTCGAGTTGTGGGTGGAGAGGTCATAGAAAGCCATCAGCGTCACCTACATGACCCAGGCGATTACAAAGGCGAGCAGACACGGATATTCGTGACCACACCGGCGGTTCTACGAGTGCGGAAATGAGGTTCTCTGGATAGCAAGTAAACTAAATTTGGAGTTGTGCTCATTATCTGAGCGGAACCGATCATTGAGGCCTGTGACTGACGAAGATGAAATGATGTTCGCTTACACAGGTGCCAAGAACTTATCTGGATAAGAGGATCAGCAGGCTATTTTTTGGAATGTTACTGTGAGCTCAAAGCAGAGGCTGCCTTGCAAGGTGCAGTGCTTAT